CTCTCTCTCTCTCTCTCTCTCTCTCTCTCTCTCTCTCTCTCTCTCTCTCTCTCTCTCTCTCTCTCACACACACACACACACACACTGAGAGCATGTGTGTGCGTACATGCGCGTGTTTTACTAGTCGATTTTGAGACGGGTTTGCGTCTGCTGCAGATCATTTGGTAGGACCACACTCGGAGTATCACACTACTGGAGACCCGAATAGGAAATGCGGTACTCCCTTAGTGATCTGAAGCACCGGCTCACACAACGGAGGCCCGAGAAAGGACACTGAGCTTCTTTTTTGGGGGGGAAGGAAAACAGAAAAAGAATTTCACATCTTTGGGAAGATCAACAGAGTTCCACTTACCGTCAAAAGTAAGTCGAGTCCCACTTACCGCCAAACGCAAGTCAAGGACTTACCGTCCAGCCAGATGGCGGAAAAAGAGAGAGAAAGCGAGAGAGAGAGAGGGAGAGAGTCCCTACTTACCGTCCCTTAGATCGCACCAATCAAGGGCGCCGACCACCTCTTCATCTTCATCCTCGTCGTCTTCATCGCCTTCCTCTTCGTCGTCATCATCGGCATCATCGTCATCACCATCGCCATCCACCTCGCTGTCGTTCTCCGCTTCCTCCTGCTCCTGCCCCTGGACCTTATCCCCCTTTCCGTTTTGGGCAACTTCCTTAACGGGAAGTCGATCGGGATCCCTTTCCGGCTGCTGCTCGTCCTCCTCCGCGACCTCGTCTCCCTTTCCGTTTTCGGCAAATCCCGTTACGGAAAGCCGGTCGGGATCCGTTTCCTGCTGCTGCTCCACCTCTTCCGGCGATCGGGATCCCTTTCCGTTTTCGGCAACTTCCGTAACGGGAAGTCGATCGGGATCCCTTTCCGGCTGCTGCTCGTCCTCCTCCGCGACCTCGTCTCCCTTTCCATTTTCGGCAAATCCCGTTACGGAAAGCCGGTCGGGATCCGTTTCCTGCTGCTGCTCCACCTCCTCCGCCGATCGGGATCCCTTTCCGTTTTCGGCAACTTGCTTTACGGACAGTCGATCGGGATCTTCTCCTTGCCGATCGGGATACTTTTCCTGCCAAGGATCCCGATGGATGAAAGTCCAGACAAGTGAGACGACAGAAATAGGCATAACTGCATATGTCAGAGATAAGAAGAAGCGCGCGCGGGGCCGTGGGGGGGCGGGGGGGGTGGGGTGGAAAGGGGACGACGGGAGGAGGGGAGGAGGGGGGAAAGAGAGGGAGGGAGAGAGATAAAGAACGAAACATTTTAAGAAAGGGGGACAAGAGGGTTTTCTTTTTCTTTTTTTTGTTGGAACGAATCATCAGAGGGACGACGGATGGTGCATTTTACGTATGTGTTCATCATGGTAATGAATACGGTTCACGGCTTGAAATATATTACTATTACTTATTAAAGTACTTTTTCTCAATTCGTATACAGAAACGGATTAAAAAAAAAAAAAAAGGGGGAGAAATTTTGCAAAAAAAAAAAAACAGAATTCATTATAAGCGCTATGAGGTTCAGAACAAATCACGCCGAGGAGATCTTGTGCCCAACTCTTGTTCCTCGCCACTCTTTTTTTCAGGAAAAGATGCGGTTTGTTTTTTTTTAATTCTTTCCTTTTTCATTCTTGGACTTTCAAATTCTAGTGTCTTTTTTAATTCTTTCCTTTATTAAAGCGCTACGAGTTTAACGACACGTGACAGCTGGAAACAATCGGGGTAAGTGGGACCAGTGTCAAGGTCCCACTTACCCAGGTCCCACTTACCCCGGAGATCTGGTTCAGATGTTACAAGGATCGACGGCTGGAAACAATCCGGGAAAGTGGGACCTTGACCCTGGTTCCAACTCATGGTCTTTTGCAAACAAACCAGCGAGTTGATGGGTAAGGGAGGGCGAAGGAGGGAAGGGGGGGGGGGGGGAAAGAGGGGGAGCTGGGAGAAGGGAGAAGGGAGCAGATCAGGTGGAGTAGTTTAGAAGGGAGGTGGTGAAGGAGATGTGGGAAGCGAATGAGGAATACGGAGGAGGAAGAGGAAGAGGAGAAAGAGGACAACCGAGGAGAAGGACGAGGAGGAGGAGGAGGACGGGTGGGGGGCACAGGCAAGGCAAGGTCGAGGAAGAAGATGGAGCGGAATGGGGAGAGAGAGTGGAGGAGGAGGAGGTAGAAGATGAGAGAGGGAAGGAAGTCGATCTGGAAGAAGAAGAAAGAGGGCGCGCAATGAAGGGAGAAAGAGGAAAAGCAGGGCACGGACGAGACAACAGAAGAGAAGGAGGAGAATGTCGACGACGATGACGAAAATGAAGGACAGAGGAAGAGGAGGAGGAGGAGGAGACGAGTGATGGATCAAGGACGAGGAGGAGGAGGAAGAAGAAGAAAGATGGAGAGGAGTGGGGAGCAAAGAGGACGAGGAGAGGGAGAGAAAGGTGAAGGGGCAGGAGGAGGTAGAAAACGAGGGAGGGAAGCAAAAAGGAGGAGGAGAGGGAGAGAGAAGGATGGCGCGCAGTGGTGGAGGAGCAGGGGGAGGGGAAGGGGGTCCAGGGGCTGAGGGGGGAGGGCGGGGGGGAAGAGAAGGAGAAAGAAATGTCAAGAGGGGGCGACTTGATGGAGGACGATGGCGTTCAAGGAGAAGAAAGGAGGAAGAAGAAGAAGAGCGCCGATCCGCTGACCATTCTTTACCCCCCAATAGAGCGCACGGCCATCACATCTGTATTTGAGTCAATTCCAGAGTAGATACCGCGATATTGCCCGTGCGTTCTATTCGCGGCAAGACAGTAGGGACAATCGTACCTCGTCGTACGGGTCTGGCAGTCTGACGACGCCATCGCCGTCAGCATTGGAGTTCCCGGAGGCTATCCCATTCCTCTTATCTCCTTCCTCATCGCTGCAGCATGCCTCTCCAGAGCCTTCAAGATCCACCGACGCCATCGCTCGTCCAGCTCAGTCAAACGCGGACGGCGCCGTCCGCTCCTCCGCTCTCTCTCCCCTTCGCTTCAGCATGAAACAAACAAACAAACACCTCCTTCCCTCCCTCCCCTTTCTCCCCCTCTCCCTCTCTCCTCCCTCCAATCGAAGATACCGTACCTGTCTGCCCTCTTCTACACCAGACTCTCGCTCCAACCTATGAGGGAAGGCGCTGGGACTCCCGGAATTACCGACACCATGGGCTTCGCTGCTCTCCAGGTACTCTCGAAATGTGCAAAGCGAGAGCGAATCTTCGCTAGAAACATGGCAAGATACGGCCCCATGATTTTTGTCCTTTGTGCATTCCGAGAGTAGTGCAGCGATGCCCCATTGCCCTCGAATTGTTCCGTGCGGTTCTATCTGCGAGGCTTGACGGCGCCTTTACCGACCCGGCCCCGCGCACAGCCGATGCCCTTCTACTGGAATTGTTGCCAACTTCGAATGGGGAAAAGAAATAGGCCTTTATCTGAATATTCGATCCCCCATAGATCCTAACAGACCCCCATTTGGACTGCTGGGTCTATAAGCCGCAAATCCCAGTATGCGACCTTCCCGTTGGCCCCCCCTGGATTGGCAATGGGGTCTTCCTGGTGGCGAACTGAAAAGGGGCACTAGGGCAAGGAGACTAAGAGCGCACACGAGAGAGAGAGAGAGAGGGGGAGAGAGAGAGAGTGGGAGGAGGGGAGCTACCACAGAGAGAGAGAGAGAGAGAGAGAGCTTGAAAGTGAGAGGCTGACTGGCAAAATTGGAATATTGGTCAAATTGTGGCCGCCATCTATTTCACAATTGAAATGATTTTTTTTAACTTATTTCATATTTTTCCTGTAAATATCATAATAAAATCTACGGTTACCTCAATTTCAGAATTTTTTCACGCATTCTTCTAAGCGTCAAAATGCGTGAAAAATCACTCAATTTGGAGTACTTTTTCAGTTGGACCACACATCGTTGAATGGCAAAAATGGAAAATGGGTCGAATGGGCGCGGTGATTATTTCGCAATTCAAATGATATTTTGAAATTTGTCTGATATTTTTCCTGGAAAGAACACAACCTGTTTTATGGAGTCTCAAATTTTCAGATTTTTATGTGGATTCCTCCAATAACAAAAAATCGTCAAAGTTTCCTCTTGCAAAACGTTTGTTTCGTTGCGCCTAACCTCCTTGTTTTGAGAAGACGGGCCTCAATGTATGGGCCTGAATGCCCTTTTGCAGTTCACATGGAAGGGAGGAGTGGTCCTCCCTGTTTTATTTATTGATTGTCTACCGTGATCATGGAAGGGAGGAGTGGTCAATTTTTCATCGTCGTCGTTATACCGATCGTTCATTCCGGCTGGTTGGTCGTTGGAAGGCTCAAAAAATGCAGGCACGTGCAGGCAGGTCACTTAAGGGACTAGTGGCAGCTAGTGGCAGTTTCTTTTGGACCGGTAGCTGCTCGTGGGACCGCGCACGCGCACTAGGTTGGCACAGGCCGCGGTCCTTAAGCTGCGAATTTCAAAAAGGAAAGGGCGTGGGGGCGGGGGCGGAAAAGGCCGAAACGACGCTTGCCATAGATGAGTCTAAATGTGGACGCATTCAACGCCCCTTTCAGACACATTTGTGCCCCGGTGTTCTGCGTGCCATCTCAATCGCTTGGGTGTCATCTCTCTCTCTCTCTCTCTGTCTCTCTCTCTCTCTCTCTCTCTCTCTCTCTCTCTCTCTGTATATATATATATATATCTGCCACTTGCATGCTACAGGGGGCGAAGGCAGGGGCGGAGACGTCCGAAAGTGCGCAGGCTTGGGCACAGGTTGAAACGACACTTGCAACAGATGTGTCTCACCCGACTTCTAAACCTCACCAATAACACCTCCTTTATCAATCAACCATATACAAACTACGGGCTGCGCACCCGTGCCCTAACGGTAAGTCAATGGGCTTCGGCGTCTGTGTCAAGGTGTCGCATTTTTGGCTGCAGGCGACCAGGATGCAAACTGGGTTCTCAGGAGGCAAAAACATTTGGGGGACCGGTCCTTACCAAAATGGCGGACTACCTACAGCTAGCTCTGCTCGAACCGGGACTTTTGGAAACAGGAAGGACGGGTCTTCGGGTGCAAGCCGACCCCAAAAAGAAGTAGGGGGCGTTGGACGGGTCCACGGGTGGAAACCGACCCCAAAACGAAGTGAGGGCATGCGAACCGCAAAAGAGCCCTCAGGCCCAAGCGTTGAGGTCCGTCTTCTCAAAAGAGGGAGGTCAGGCACAAGGAAACATGCGTTTTGCAAGAGGCACCTTTGACGATTTTCTGTGCTCGAAGGAGCCCGCAGAAAAATTTGAAATTTTGGGAATCCATAGACGAAGTCGTGTTCTTTCCAGGAATAATATTAGATAATTTAAAAAAAATCATTAAGACTGCGAAATAATCGTCACGCCGATTCGGCACATTTTCCATTTTCGCCACTCAGCCATGTGTGGGCCAACTGAAAAAGTACTTCAAATTCAGTGAATTTTCACTCACAGAAGAATGCGTGAAAAAACCTGTTTTTTCGAGTACTTGTAGATTTTGTTGTGATCTCTCAATAAATTTTAAAGAAATCATTCCAACTGTGAAATAGATCACGACCGCAATTCGACCTATATTTCAATTTTGTCATTCAGCCTCTCTCTCTCTCTCTCTCTCTCTCTCTCTCTCTCTCTCTCTCTCTCTCTCTCTCTCTCTCTCTCTCTCTCTCTCTTGTGCGTGTTGTCGGCCCAAATACCCTTACAAGGGTATTTGGCCATGCTTTTGCATTCGACACGGTGACGGCATCGGCTACCATGATGGAGTCAGTCTGGAATGAAAAGGGTGTGCACGCTTGAGCGTGATGCTCGAAACGAATCCCTCGGCCAATGAGGCCGGGGCAAATCGGTGAGAAATATTCGATAAGTATGCGCGCGCGTTATTGTGACGTGCGCTCTAATGGTTAGAGTCGGGAATAATACCCTTCGACCGAAGAGGTCGAGGGGTCGATTGGGTTAAGTGTTATGTCAGGTGAACCTACAACCTACACAGTGACGGAGGCTTAAGCATCCGTACGATAAGTTAAAATTAATATACGCCCTGACCGTACGGGCAGAGCAATTAACAATGAGTGATCGTCAGGTTGAGGTAGCACCCTGAAATGCTAAGAGCTTGGCTCAAGCGGTATACCACGAGTAGGACTGAGGGTCTCGCCCGAGTTCCCGCATATGGAGAAGCGTTTGCCTCTTGAACGGTGACTTCTTGACTACGCGGCATTCCTGCCTTTACTAGGTATGGTACCAACCTATCTGCACGTACTTCGGGAGGAACGTTGTCGTCATCTTCGACACTATAGAGTAGGCTAGATGGGATCTGCTTTTAGTAGTCTGGGCGCCGAGCGCCAGATAGGATGTCGACAGTGGTTCTGCACAGATGTTGCCAATTGCGAGCTTTTGCTCTTCTTTTAAATGGCGGAACTCGTAACACCATTCTGCTTTTGATCGAGGTCACGGCTATCTGGTCTTATGAATGTGATGTCGTTGTGATTGCTGAAGTTTGTTGTTGCTAATCTCTTTGTTATTATTTTTATTTTTATTATTATTATTATTATTATTATTATTATTATTATTATTATTATTATTATTATTATTATTATTATTTGCGTTATCCTTGGGTACGAATGGTCTCTGAGTGGTTGAGGAAAGAGGCTGTGAGTGAGGCGAAAGACTTACCTGACGCTGATGCTTAAAAAACTGTTGTCGCCATCTTCGGCAATGTAGAATAGGCTAAGTAGGATCTTCCAAACTGAAGACTGGGCTTCGACCCTGGAAGGGTACCGATGATGGGTCTGGGATGATGATGGTGATAACGGTGTGAGGGYACTAACCTTGTATAGGCGATGGTTTGTAAGGGCAACATCTTCAAGTACTTTGGGTTGCCACTGACGTCAACAGTTGCGTTGTCAATACTTAGGTTGCARTAGTTGTGTAGGGGTAAGCTGGGCACTGAGCGCTGAGTAGGATAGTGAAGGGGCTGGACTCTTGTGTTGACACGGAGAGAGTATGCTCTCCTTAACATTGGTTTTCAGTGCTACGAACCTCCATTGGTGTATTATTGGTGCAATGCTGCTCGTTGGACACAATGTGACTATATGGCTTTCAAGGAGATGGTGCAGTCTGGAATTGTCATCTCGTTGTTACTTATTTCCTTATTATTATAATTATTATTATTATTATTATTATTATTATTATTTTATTATTATTATTAATTATTATTATTATTATAAGATGCACAATAGGAAGGTCCAAGTGGCATCAATGTGGGGGATACTTACTTGGTGCTGATACGTGCGGCGTTGGCCGCTACCTGCCCGTGCTTCAGAAGGAGTTGTTGTCGTCACATTCGGTGTAGAGGTAGGCTAGATAGGACCTGCCATCAGTAGTCTGGGCGCCGAGCGCAGGTAGGATATCAACTCTGGTTCTTCGTTGATGATGATGGGGCTTTACCAGCAATGTCAAATACGAAGTCTTGCTGTCTTCTGAGTCGGTGAAGGTCGTGATGCAATCCTGCTGTGAGTTCAAGGCCACGACTATCTGGACTTATATGTATGCAGCTGCTTGGTTACTGAAATTCGCTATCTTAGTTTCCTGAGCATTATTTTATTATTAATATTATTATTATTATTATTATTATTTTTATTATTATTACTATTGCAATCAGACTCGCTTCCATTCACACCTTACATGTAGGCAAACGGTAGCGCAACAAACTGGCTCCATGCGTGCCCACTCAAGACTCAGACTTATGGCAATCTAGATAGGAGTTCAGTTTCACTGGATATGGCGACCAGGCCCAACAATCCACTGTACACACACACCGGATCACCCTGGATGCCCCACGTACGGACGCTGTGACACACCCTCGCATACATGACGAAAGCCCACACACGGGTGAATGCGGTGACATGCAGGACTGACAAAGGGGACGGTGAACCACACACACAGACAGACTGGACAGACAAAACAGCAAACAGACAGTCAGACGGGAGACAGGCAGGTGGGAAAACTGACGAGAAACAGACATGCAGGAAGACTTACCTGTGGCACCATAGCTTCTCCGCCTGATCTTCCTCCGCCTCGTCAGTGTATGTTTGGAGACTGGCACATTCCTCATGT